AGCTAGTGGCTATTCGGCTCAGAATCAGGCTTTCCAATCAGGTGTTTTCATACTGAATAGCGGATTATCCGTTTTGCCGATGCACTTGCCGCCGCACCACACTTTACAAGAGATCAAATAAATTATACCGTACCCATGCAGTCACCGTCTTTATCGTCGAAACATATCATGTACTCTTGCGATGTACACAGACGGTCATATTCGAAGTTACGAACAGCTGAGGCTCAGAGTGTTTCGTGATATCTCAATCATTGTCACCCATTTCCTAAGGCGTGCCATTATCAAATACCGTTTATAGTTATTCTTACTTGACTGAAAGAATGGCACAATCAAGAGGACTTTGCTTTAGCTGAGATTCTTATTTCGGGGAGAAATATTCCCCATAAACCTGTCAGAGTAGCTGCATTTCCGTACCAATGGAAACAGTATTTCCCAAATCAGTTTTAAGAACTCAGGCCCTTTTTGTATGTGAGGATTACGAGGAGAGATGACTAACAAATCAATTGTTATAGCTGAATTCTGACTACTCGGCCCAGCCACTCTCAAAATAGTTCAGTTCGCATGTTGAGAAATAGAAATGGTAATCAAACCTTGACGCCAGCCGCAATCCCACCGTCAGCCCTCTCTCTTGCGCAGAACATCTTTCAGACCAGCTAAAGATTGAGCAGTACAAGCACTCGTTTGAAACAGCTAGTAGTTACTGGTTAAACAAGTCGACAATTATCGTCGTCCTCGGTTTCATAAGAAGCTCCCGGATAGCCTGCACTGAGGAGTCATTTGACGAATTGGTTTGAAAGGCGGTACTGTCGAAAGGCTCTATCACATAGGCACTGTTGAATTACTCATTATTTAGACAATTTAGGAACATGTGAATGTTCTTCAGACTAGCTGGGACGTGTTTCAACAACTCGGATGTTATTAGAGTAGGAATCATAAGCTATCCATTGATCAATCTACACGCTGTAAAGGCCTAGCCTCAGATATTGATGAATCGGTGGACCTCAAGATCATCGCTGGAAACTAATTTATATGCTTATAAGTTCAAGATCGAACATACTGGTTGCTGAACTTTGTCTTGAGAGATTATATATGATTTTAAGCCTGCCGTTTTTGTCACTTTGACCCCTTCGTTCTTCAATTTCCAATATTGACTTTTGATTTGATTTTCGAAAGACGGGCAATAAAGGAAAGCATGTTTAAAGTTTCGTCCTTATCTCGATATTCAAATGACGAAGTGTGAGTACAAATATTGCCCTCATATCACTAACAAACAGGCTGATGTTTTTCAATCTTATTAACTCTCGAACCTCTCTCATATAATAGTTTTGAGTTTCGCTGAAGTTTGAGAAAATTTTGATTGTAATTAAGGACTTGAGCAAAGTGATCATTCTAAGGTCTGAAAAGAATTAAAAACGACCGAGACTTCATTTAGTCGAGTGAATTGTATGATAACAAACTCGTCTTTGGGTTAAAAAGTAAAAGTTATATACTGTTGAAAAAACCACGTCAATAGAAATTCGGTTTTGGAACTTATGCTCAGACTAGTTCTAGAATTGGTTTTTGTGTGGCTTATTGACGCAGAATTTTGCTTAATATATCTTCAGAATGCTTTCTCAATGTTTTCTTTGTATTATGCCAAATGTTGTAATAAATAAATAACTCCGCTTCTATCCTTCTTCCAAAATTATTTCCCAATTTTCGCGCTAAGGTAAGAGTCTCTTTCGATTTATTTTACAAAGTATATCAGCATGATATATTTTCAATTTGTGATAGACCTACCATTACTGGCACAAAAAATTGTCATAAATCGGCAATGGACCTACTTTCTTTTCCGTTGCATAAAATACAAAGTTATTGCTCTCTTTATCAGAAAACGAAATTACATAAAATGTGAAGCTGACAGAGAGTTCAAGCTAGATATAAGACATTTGTATGCCATTATTTCGCACATGTCTTTGAAATATACGAAACAATTGGTTTGTTCTTGTGGAAAAAGTGCCTGAAAAAGAATCATTTTGTGATTAGTATTTGAAAAATAATCTTTGCAAAAGAATAGTAGCGGAGACATATGTGTTTGTAGCATTATGGTGATAATATGAAGAAAATCATGGAGGAAACTTAGTCTGTTGTCAGAGCTAATACATTGAGACTAGCTTTTCTTTTATTTCGAGTGAGTACATAGGAAATCCTGTACACTGATAAAATCTCGGAAGTATTCTCGGAATATTCTTTTCAAAACACCTTCATCATCTGCTCCACAGACATTCAATCGCCATATTTCCGGAGGAAAAGGATTCAAATATTTCCTAGAAACATTATACTCTTTTGAGTGCATTCAGTTTCCAGTACAATGGTTTGCATATTATGGCTGTCCACATCGGATTAAACAGAAGGATCATCTATGTTTAGTATTGGCGAAACATGAATAATTCAAATTATACTACTCAAATGCTATTCCGTACTCTCTCAGTAACGTTATTGATCGTCCACTCATTAATCGGTCATTTCAAATGATTCAAAGACAGTAAAGACCGACTTTTGCTGACCTAAATCAAATGAAAAATAAAACATAGTAAAGTCTAATGAACTAATTTTTATAAAACTTCCGCCAGGGTCGTATGTCGTCTACAAAATCTATACCTGACGTTTCGGAGACTTAGCCTTTCTCAAATTGCGAACGTATCAATAAAACGTTATTCGTATATGCGAATTGCTTACATTATATATGAAAATGTCTTGTATTATTTGATTAGTCATCGTAGTGATTTTTTTTTACTGTGCGGATCCCAGTAGTTCTAGCAATCAATTCGTTTCTTCGTCTTCTTCCTGGATGGCGTGGAATACTGATCGAGCGAGTATCCTTGCAAGCTCGGCGGTAGCCTTGCTGTGGCGTTCCATAGGACGTTGTTGTTGAGTGCCGCAGGGAGGATGCAGTTCGGCTCCACGCGCGCGGTAGCCAACATCACAGCCACTCGGCTGCTGCCCTCCTATGGTACTATGAACTGATAACATATTTTAAGCCTTTCATAAGGTCTGTTATGCATTTATCAGCGAGATCTCAAAAAGCACTCGGAAAAGAAAGGTATGACAGTCATGTCATAACAGCCACGAGCAATCGAGTCTGCGACGCTACTCGTTGGGTGATTTTCCACCTGACGACCCGTATAAGTATTTCGGCGACGGCTCCTGTATACAGGAAATATCTCTTTACGGAATCAACTGAACCAGAAGGCACCGTACAACCGAGGCTGATATGCCGAAACACGTGCACTGAGCTGTATAAGTGCCATAACACACCTCATGAAAGGCTCAAAATATGTTATCAAATTATGTTGTTATGAGCGTGGTCTCAAAAACACACGAAAAGAAAGATATTATAAATAACATTTATTTAGGAAAAGTCACTCACCGTGTTATCCAAGTTTCCTATGTTCTTTATGTGGGATGATGTTTTAATCCGGTTCTCATAGCAGTAGGACGAATCGAGCAAGGGTGTCAGCTGATACCGTGCTTAAAAATATATGAGGTAGAGTGTCATATGGTTTATCATGATCAACACTCTCCATACTTGTTTATTTTTATGCTTTTGGAAAGTATCCAAGAAACCTCGCGCACACCAAGATTTTATTTACCACCTCAAAGTCATCGATATGCCTTTCTGCTCAGTGTGTACCACCTCATAGGGCGCTTGTGCGCCTTTTTGATTTTCCGTTGAAGTATTCTATTATGCGAACACAAAGTGGTCTATGCGTCTCGGCTGTATAATCGTCATTGAATGTCATACAAGAAATCCTGTATATTACCTACGCTCATGCAGTCTTCATCTCCACAGTTGTGACGCTGATTAAATCAGTTCAAATCCTTACGTCAAATTTTCTTTTCGGCTGACATGATGTTCCACATTGGTACCATTTTCCATGAGGAAATAGCAGCACTGATGCAATAGGTCCTCAAGCCATTGCGTATGATTGTTAGAAAAGATATGAAAAGGTATACATTCAATCACCTTTAACCATTCTCATTCAAATCAAATGCATTGTATATCGTTTCTTTCCTCTTGAGATTTATCACACCACAGAGACCTGACTAAAATGGCTCCGACGTCGCATTCAATTTCCCATTCAGAGACAGTGTGAAAGTGCTTATAGCAGTCCACATGCCTGGCTCAAAAAATAATTACTAGGCACTTTCAAATTAGAACGTGGTCTTGAGAAAGCACTTTAAACGAACGAAACAAATGAAATGTTCGAAGACCTTTGTGAAGAATATATGCGAGGAAACGAAAAGAGCGCTAGAGGTGTTAGGATCCGCAGAGTAAATTATGATAATGAGTTGGACGAATAAAATGCCGCTAGATATTTTCAGTAGCTTTCCCTTTCTCTGAATAATTCAAAATGATGTGACTGTTTAGTATGCCTTCCATGACAGGATTAGTCTTTGAATTACTCGGTAACTGAATTTATGTATAAAAAAGCCGCGGTTTAGAAAATGATACATAGTTTCATAATACTCATTGTATAGTCGTGTTATTCCGACAATTGAATAATTCTTCCTTTTCGACTTATTTTTAGAGCTCTTTTAAACCAGCATAACCTGATAACATATTTTGAGCTTTTCAGGGGTGTATTATGGATATAAGTGCAAGACATGTGTTTCAAGCTTACAATCTCGCTAGGTGCACGGTGTCTTCCGGTTCAGTCAGTTCCTCGGCGACACATCCCTTACATAAAGGAATCGACGTCGAACTATTTACATCTGCCGCAAGGTGATAAAATCACCCAACGGGCAGCACTATACTATCTATTGCTCGTGCTTAGTTTACGTATATTGTCGTATCTTTCTTTCTAATTGTTTCTGAGACCTTCCCTTTGTAAAGGGAGTATGATTCCGAGGAACTGACTGACCGAAAAGGAACTGCACAACTGATGACGTTGTAAGGCCGAAACACGTTGTTGGCACTATATAAGTACCTATGAGAATTGGGTGGTGAGCAAAAACACTGCCTCAGGCGGATATGGAACCCGCATTTCAACCATACCGGGAACGCGTGCTACTACCACTACACCACCGATGCACATTCAGTCACCACTCTTTCTTTAACCTCTCTATGTTACCTATCAGACACCAACCTTTAACGGTCTGGTTGGGTATACGACTGCACTTCATACTCCCAGTTAAAATTAGACTTAAAATTAAGCTTTATGAACCCAGTATAAACGCGGGTTCGATTCTCGCCTGAGGCCGTGCTTTTGCTCACCACTCAATTAATTCTCTTAGGTATACATGTAGCATCATAACACCGCGAAAAAAGCAGTAAAAATACTAGAATCGGAGCACTATATAGGTGCCATAACAGACTTCATGAAAGGTTCAAAATATGTTATCAAATAAAAAAACCATTTCAGTAAAGCATGCTGGGAATCGTATATTTTCTTGCCCTCATTTCAACAACGATAGCATGTAACTGTACTTATCTGCCGGCAACGGAGGCCATCTGCGATGCGGAATGGAGTAGGCTATTCTTCAAATTTTAATTTTCAGTGGTGTTGATAACTGCAACGATAACCAGTTACGTTCGCTTTATGACTTCATTTGATCCCTTATACAGCTTTTCTTGCTTTCACGGTACAGATCCCACTACTTCTAGCATTCAGTTCGTTTTTCGCCTTTTCGAACGTCATAGAATACTAGTAGAGCACGTTCCTTTGCAATCTCGAAGATGGCGCGGCTGTGGCGTTCCACAGGGCGTCCCCCTCTTAATAACGATTAATGTATTATTGTCATACTGTGACTAAAATTTCAAATATCAATTGTAAAATTCGCGCGACATGGTAAAAATTGATGCGTGTGTTCGAGAAAAGAAGTACGAAACAATTACTGATAATACTAATGTGATTGTGAACGAGAGCCTATACATTTCTTCTCATCGGAAATTTTCCTCATATAACCTTCAATTCATTTAGTATCCCACATGAAAGTGATCGCCTTCCACAATCCGTACAGAGACAATACTGGGTTTTATAACGTTATGTATACAGTCGAGCACATTGAGTTGTTTAAGGTAGTGAAAGATTTTCATTTTCATGGAATGCTTCAACTAGGACTATGACCATTGTACACCTGTTCAGAGTTATAATACCAGCCGTCCGCTTAATCCCGTCTTTTTTATATCGTCTGATGAGGCAGAATGCTTCAATTTAAACCGCGGAGAATATATCATATCAGGTAAAGATCACTTTATTCACATAGTGCTGTATAGAACTGCAAAAGCTATTTTTCCTATAAAGCTACATATAATAGGTTGAGGAAAAAGTTCTGAGGAAATGTTAGCAACTTTTTCGGATCTCTTCCAATTTTTGTGTTTTGGGCTCATAGAAAAGCCCATCTTCTCCCGCGTTGATTGATATATATATTTTATCCACTTATTTGAAGATGAGGTTAACAAGCGAGCAAGTTATGATGCAACGGCGGCAAGTGAACGCATCAGTCTGGCTTGAGGCGAAGTTCACTGTATTAGTTTTTATTAGTTTATATTAAATTACATAATAGTCACATATATATACATATTAATATATATAATAGTTTTGTCTTTGTTCAGGTGTAATAGGTGCATAAATAAATGTTTTACAAGCATTTTCTCAGAACTTTTTCCTCAATCTATTGATTTTTATTTTGCTGAAAATTGCACTGTACTTTCAAAAGCTCACTCTAGAGGTGATATTTCATGAAGCGATTTGCAGCTAATTTTTCTCATCAAACCCTTATTTATGCTGTATTATATGAGTAGTAGATTCGTAAATTAACAATAAATCTTAAAAGCACAATAACGATAAACGATCTAATAGCACCATATAATTTAGGAAGGTTTGGAGCCGACAGAACATTACGTGCTTCCTACTGTCAACAAATCACTGACAACGGCCTTGGTGGTGTTCAAGAATATGAGAACGTCTCAAGGGCATTACTGACCAGTCTGCATACACTGAACTGTTGAGGCGTAAACACGAATATAATGAAAATTTTTTGCATTGATATTATCCATGTAGTCTTTTTCATATTGTAGAACACAAGAAAAAAGTAGCACACAAGAAAGCTTCTCGAGAAGCTTGGTGTTGAATATTATTCTATCAGTTGTTTTGAACTGACTGTTTAAGGAACCCTTGCTTCGAGAGCGCCAAGGATATACGCAAGATTTTTAAGTTCAGTGAGAACGAATTGAGTTAGCGAGACAATTAGTTACCATTGTACATTGTACTATGAAATGTGTAAAAATGCATTTCCTTCCAATAATATGATAAACAAGGCTATCATCAAACAATTATTCAGCTAACGTTTAGACGTCATCAGAGCTCAATCAATTCGATTCGATGGTCCACAGTCGTTAGTATTCTGAGTGAGGCAGAGCTAAATGAGGGAGACCATACTCGGCGCACTTTTTTTTAAAAATAAGACCAGGTGCTAACAAAGTGATTTCTTCTATCACACGATACATATTGGTGCAATCTTTATTAGAAAGTTGGAGTATGTTGTACATTTCAACTAAGGACCATTGACTCGGATCTGTCTGGCACTGAAGAAGGCGAAAACGTTAGGGAAATAAATGTTTGATAATAACTAGTACTATTATAACTGGTATTTGATAACTGGTATCAACTTGCATGTTGAGAAATGGAGCTGGCAGTCAAACATGATGCCAGCCGCAATCCCATTGTCACCTCGCTCATTTGTGCGAAATATTTCTCGGATCAGCTGAAAGACTGAGCAGTACGAGCACTTGTATGAAAGAGCTAGCAGTTGCTGATTAGACAAGTCGTATAATTATGATCCTCCTTGGTTTCATAAGAAGCTTCCGTAGCTGCATTGAGAAGTCATTCGACACGTGCTTGAAAGGCGGTAGTGTCGAGGCTCTATCGCAGAAGCGCTGTTAAAATACTCGTTATTTAGACAATCTAGGAACATGTTAATGTTTGTCGGATAAGCTGGGATGTGTTTCAACAACTCTGATGTTATTCAGAGTAAGAATCATAATAATCTATCCGTTGAGCAATCTACACAGCTGTAAAGGCCTAGCCTCAGATATTGATGAATCGGTGGACCTCAGGATCATCACTGGAAAACTAATTTATATGTTGATAAGTTCAAGATCGAACATACTGGTTGCTGAACTTTGTCTTGAGAGATTATAGATGATTTTAAGACTGCCGTTTTTGTCACTTTGACCATTCGTTCTTCAATTTCCAATATTGACTTGCTAATTTGATTTTTGAAAGACGGGCAATAAAGGAAAGCATGTTCAACGTTTCGCCCTTATCTCGATATTCAAATGACGAAGTGCGATTACAAATGTTGCCCTCATATCACCAACAGACAGGCTGATGTTTTTCAATATCATTAACTCTCGAACCTCTCTCATACAATAGTTTCGCTGAAGTTTAAGAAAATTTTGATTGTGATTAAGGACTTGAGCAAACTGATCATTCTAGGCTCTGAAAAAAATTAAAAACGACCGAGATTTCATTTAGTCGAGTAAATTGTATGATAACAAACTCGTCTTTGGGTCAAAAAGTAAAAGTTATAGGCTGTTGAAAAATACCAGGTCAATAGAATTTCGGTTTTGGAACTTATGCTCAGACTAGTTCTAGAATTGGGTTTTGTGTGGCTTACTGACGCAGAATTTTGCTTAATATGTCTTCTAAATGCTTTCTCAATGTTTTCTTTGTATTATGCCAAATGTTGTTATAAATAAATATGGACTCCGTTGCCATTCTTATTCTAAAATTATTTCGCAATTTTTGCGCTGAGGTAAGAGTCGATCTTTTGATTTATTACGAAGTATATCAGCATGATATATTTCCAATTTGTGATAGACCTATCATTATTGGCACAAAAAATTGTCTTAAATCGGCATAGGACCTACTTTCTTTTCCGCTGCATAAGATACAAAGTTATTGCTCTCTTTATCAGAAAACGAAATTACATAAAATGTGTAGCTGACAGAGAATTCAAGCTAGATTAAGACATCTGTATGCCATTATTTCGCACATGTCTTGAAATATAAGAAACAACTAGTTTGTTCTTGTGGAAAAAAGTGCCTGAAAAAGAATCATTTTATGATCAGTATTTGAAAAATATCTTTGCAAAGGGATAGTAGCTGAGACAATATGTGTTTGTAGCAATATCGGGATAAAATGAAGAAAAAAATCATAAAGGAAACTTGAAGATCCGTTGTTAGAGCTATTATATTATGACTATGGAGCCTTTCTTATATTTCGAGTGAGTACATGGGAATCGTGTACATCGATAAAATCTCGGAAGTAAGCTCGGAAGTATTCTTTTCAGAACACATCGTCATCTTTCCAGAGGAAAAGGATTCAAATTTTTTCCAGAAATATTATCCTCTTTTGAGTGTATTCAGTTTCCAGTACAGTGGTTTGCATATTATGGCTGCCCACATCAGATTACACAGAAGGATCATCTATGTTTAGTATTGGCGAAACATAAATTATCCAAATAATACTACTCGAATGACATTCCTAAGCTCTCACTAACGTTATTGATCGCCCACTCTGTAAGTAATCGCTCATTTCTCACAATATAAATTCAGAAAAACCAACTTTTATTGAACCTCCGGAATTAAATGAAAATGAAGAGTGGGTAATGTTAATGAACAAACCTTTGTGAAGCTTCTGCGAGGGTGACATGTCGTCTACAAAATCGATGGTTGACGTTCCGGCAACTTCGCCTTGCTTGGATCTTAAACGTATCAATTAAACGTTATTCGTATATGCGAACTACTTATCGTATATATGATAAATCTTTGGTATTTTGGACTGATAACATTTTGAGCCTTTCAAAGATCTGTTATGGCACTTTCGAACGAGGTCTCGAAAACACTCGAAAGGAAGGCGTGACAATCATGTTTTATCAGCCACGAGCACTTGAGTTACAACACTGTCTGCTGGGTGATTTTTCACCTAACGGAGCGTGTAAGTATTTCGGCGTCGGCTTCTATATGCAGGGATAAATCCCCACGGAACTGACTGAACCGAAAGGCGCCGTGCAGTTGACGCGGCT